TTCCATGTGTTTACTCTTTTGGTGCTGATCCTCCTATTATTGATTTCTAATTTGATAGCATTATGATCTGAGAAGATGCTTTGCAATATTTCAACCTGAATTTATTTTTAAGGAAAGAATAATAACTGTGTTTTAGTGGCAAAATGGAGTAAAGCCATTGTATCAAGTGATATGTGACTGAAAACCAAAATAGAAGTGGTTTAAATAAGATAAAAGTTTAATTCTTTCTTCTGAACATCTTTGTGGCTCATCTTGTGGCTTTGTCCTTGTAGACCAAGACTTCTGCTTGTGTTCCAACCATCAAGTCCACATAGTACAGAACAAAGAAGGGTGTGCTGCTTCTTTCTAAAGTTGCACACCATGTTTGCATTTATATCCCATTGACAAGGACTGAGTTATGTACTGTGTCTGGCTACAAAGGAGTCCATGAGCTCAATTAAAATGTGGTTCTTCTATAACTAAGGAAGAAAAGGAGAACAGGTATTGTGGATAACTAGTGGTGTCTGTGACAAGCATTTTCTTATAAAATTGTCGGCAAGTTGAAAAAAAAATTACTCTTTGTACATCAGAGAACTTTGTCAGCAAAGTGAAGAGACAGCCTTCAAACAGGGAGAAAATTTTTGTGACCCATATATCAAATAAGGCTTTATTGTCCGGAATATATAAAGAACTCCTACAGCTTGACAACAACCAAAAAGACAACCCAATCAAAACAACCAAAAAGACAACCCAATCAAAAAGTGGACAAAGATCAGAAGAGACATTTCACCAAAGATGATATAAAGATGGCCATGTAAAGATACTCAACTGCATAAGCAGTTAAGGAGATGCAAAACCAGTGAGATATCATCTCACTCCCACAACGATGGCTGAGGGAAAAAGAAGACTTAAAACAACAAATGTTGGCAAGGATGTGGGGAAAATTAAACCCTCATCCATTGCTAGTAGAATGCAAAATGGTACAGTTGCTGTAGAAAACGGTTTGGTGTTTCTCAACAAGTTACACCTAGAATTACCACGTGACCAAAGAGACTTGAAAGCAATGATGCAGACGTGTGTATACTAGTGTTCATTGCAGCACTGTTCCCTATAACCAAAAGGTAGAAATTACTTAAATGTCCAACAGTAGGAAACTTGTTCAATAAATTGTGATATATTCATATAAGGAACCTCTAAAGGTGAGTGATATTTGTTGACATGGAAAGAAGTTCACAATCTATCAGTGTAGAAAAAATGCAGATTACAGAAGAGCAAGTATGTAAAATTACATACACAAGGAATCTCAACAAAAATGTCCGTAGTAACCACAGTGAGATACCACTTTACCTCCCATTAGAATGGCTAAGATAAGGGGAGAAAAAATGGAAAACAACAAATGTTGGCTGGTGAGGATGTGGAGAAATTGGAACCCTCATCTGTTGCTGGTGAGACTATAAAATGGTATAGTCGCTGTGGAAACCAGTTTAGCACTTCTTCAAAAATTTAAACATAGAATTACCTGTGAGCTAGCAATTCTACTCCTAGGTATATACCCAGAAGACTTGAAAGGAAGGATTCAAACAGACAACGTGTACACTGTTGTTCATTGCAGCACTGTTGACAATGGCCAAAGTGGAAACAACCCAAATGTCCAGTGGATCAACGGGTAAACCAGATGTGGTATATTACAGACTGTGGGATGTTACTCAGCCATAAACAGAAATGAAGTCCTGAAAAAAAAAAAAATGTCCATAGTGGTCCTCTCTGGGTGGTGGCATTTCAGCAGTTCAGGTGACTTTAAAATTTTTTTCTTAATACTTTTCTGAATGATGTGAATTATTTTTTTCCCCAGTAAACACAGACCATTAATCCAAAAGATTACAATATAAAGGTAGTTTTAAAAGGCTAAAGAATGACTCATGTTGGTTTTACTTTAGGAGGATTTAAAGATCCAGCTCTCTATACTTCCTGGTTAGAGCCTGCTCATACTTTCAATGTATGGAAAACTCAGCGAGCCTTCAACAAATATGAGAAGTTGGCAACATTGGTCAGCAATAGCCAGTTCTTGGTAAAACCACTTGATATGATTGTGGGCAAAGCATGGAATATGTTTGCTTCAAAGTAAGTAAAATATCAGTCTGTAAACTTTCCAAACCTTAAGCAGACAATAGAGTTGAACACGAGGCAGAATTTGGAGTAAGCATGGCTCAGACTTAGAGGTGTGAATCCTTGGGCATATTACTTAGGCCACATTTCCTCCTCTGTACAGTGAATCCTAACTGAGAAACTATATGTTGGGGATTAAATGAGATAAAAATGTAAAAACACCTAGTACAGTGCCTGACTAGTAAATGCTCAATAATTGCTTGGCATTTTTATTATTGCTTATTATATTGATATTTTAGTAGTAGTAGTAGTATTGATAGGAGCTCTGGTAGCATAGTGCCTAAGGCACTTGACTGCTAACCAGAAGGCTGGTGGTTCAAACCCACCAGCCACTCCTCGGAAGGAAGGTTGGGCAATCCTACTTCCGTAGTGATACTTCCTCGGAAACCCAAGGAGGGGTCGCTATTAGTCGGGGCCAACTCGACGGCATATAACAACAACAACAGTAGTGTTGATTAAATGGGTAGTTTCTAAGCCAGATGAAATTAAAGTAGAAATTCATTGTAAGACAGGGACAATAAAATAGGTTTTCAAAGTAAGGTCCTTGGGAGAGTGGAAGAGCCGCTGATCTTGCTCAGTAAAAAATCTAGTAAGTTCAACTCCCCTTGTTACTCTGAAAAACAAATTCACTGCCATCAAGTCAATTCCAACTCATCGAGTTGTACATCTTTATGGACACAGACTGCCTCATCTTTCTTCTACAGAGCAGCTGGCAGGTTCAAACTACCACCCTTTCGATTAGCAACCAAATGCCTTAACCACTACACCACTAGAGCACCTCCCACTTGATACTAAGAAATATTTTATTGGGTTTCTTGACCTGAACTGCAGTTACTTGATGTCAGAACAAATTCCTCAAATGACTGGATAGGGCCTCTGCTTTGGTTAGCTGGGGTTCCTGATGGCTCAGCCATTCTGCATATAGCCCTGCTTTCTGGCATCATGCTCGCTCAGCCCACTCTCATTAAATGGTAGCAGCAGCCATTATGACATCAATTTAACTCATGTCTGCCTTTGATATTCTTTTAACATGATTTCTTCTGCCTTATTTAATTAATATTACTAATACTACTGCTACATTTTGAGGGGGAGATTGAAAGAACCATCCTGATTTATCTACCAAGTAATACTGTCTGGAACACACTTGAGAGCCTTCACTGCATGCTTAGAATTGGGTTGCTGTGTGTCCAAAGAAGAGTTCCAAGCCTCAGATGAAACTTTTCAGGCATCGTGTAGAGTTTACATTGAACCCAGTCATCTCCTGTGGAGTGCTGAATAGGTGCTAAGAACATGCTGCTTTTCCTTGTGTGACTCTGCTCAGACACTAAAGGGACAGGAAGGTTGACATATTTTGAAAGTTTGCTAATCTTTGGAGTAAACAATGAGGCGAATATAAGACTCTTAAAAGATCATAATTTTCAAATATGTATGAACTGGAAAATAACTACTTATTGTTTGATTTTAAGAGTTATTTATTCACTTGAGATTTTTTATTTTACCTTTTCTGGTTTTCCACTAGAGCCTACATTCATCAGTACACAAAATTTGGAATTGAAGAAGACGACTTTTTGGACAGCTTCACATTGTTAGAGCAGGTTATTGCCAGTTACTGTAACCTCTGATCTTGAGCAAAAGTGTTTTTGGACCAAATTATTTCTGGAAGATTTTCTTCTTTATTTTTTTTCTGTAAGATTTTCAAAGTCTTACCTATTAAAGTAGCAGAGTGGAATGCTAATTTCATTTTGTGCACTATACCCAAAGAAAAGGAGGAAAACCTTTTAATTGGAGAGTTGCATGTTTTCAGGGAAAACATCTACTTGTACTTCATTTTTAAGAGAAAAACTTGGTGCTTCTATAAAAATCACTAGAAATACTTTGTTGAGATGTTAGGATTCTGGAACTATCTACATAGTTCTGGAAAAAGGAGTATATGGTTTTATTCCTCATGTTCCTAAATCTCCCTTTCTACTCTAAAAGAGATTCACTAAATATGAGCTAAACTTTCACAGCACAATATTTAGCTAAGAAATTTCAAATTCTGTACTTAGATAGTACATCTTGTCGTCATCTTTGAAGTGAATGCTTTGAGCCGCCTGAGGGCGCTGTTGTCAATGCAAAAGGGTGAATGTCTCGGACTATTCTACCCATAACAGTAGGATTTTTTTCCACTTAAGCTACTGAAAAATAAATGTCAGAATTTTTATAATAAATGCATATCATGCTTAAATACAAAAGCGACTGAAGTGTTACTTTGTTTACTTTTCTTACATTTTCTAGGCATCAGAAAATTGGGATAAGTTTTCTTTTAGATCTTAGAGTGCCAGAGCAGAAATTGATTTTATTCAGCTATTGCCTTAAAATGACTTGTAGGTGTTTAGTTGATTTGGAAGATTATTATATGTCTTACAGTAAAGCAGGTAAGAGCTTTCTCCCAAATTTCACGAAGTTGAGAAAATCATCATCAAGGAAATGTAGTGCGTGAAATTGATGCACACACGTGGGTTTGACTCATAAAAACAAAGCACACTTGGAAACTGGCAATTGAGTTTGAGGGGAATGATGTATTTCAATAAAACATCACATGCAGTGTATTAACAAATGTAAAATGGGAAACACATAGGAACATTTGCCCTTTCTGCCAAATCTAACAATAGTGTCTTTTATTTTTATAAAATAAAATGACAGTTCTCACAACCTCGCTGGTTTCTTCCTTTTCATTCCATATGGAAATGATTACCTTTTCGCTGTTTTTCTTATCAACTGTTGCTATGATTTAAAATACTGAACCATATCTTATTTCGAAGGAATGCAAAAAGTAGTCTGCTCCACTGCTAAAAGGCACACCCCACTGCTGCATTTTGTTAACCCAAGTATACTTGAAAAATAATTATAGACCATAATTTTCACAAAACAAGCTTATAGTCATTGTTCAGCTCTAAAGAGATCCAAAGACTGAAACAGTTTCCCAGAGTAAACCAGTATAAATGAAGACCTTTATTTTAAATTCTCTTCATGGGAGTTAAGCTGATTCTGAGTAACCTTGGTAGAAGGCTGGTTTCAAGACAGTCATTTGAGAAGGGGATGAGAATGGGGATGAGTATATTTGTAGTTTGGCAACTCATGGTTAACATTAGAAGTAAACCCCAGCTCTGGGTCTGTTCCCTTGTGGAAGTTTGACCCCTTGTTACCATGCACAATTATCTGATTTGTATGTTGCCTAAATATTTGCAAGCTTGTTTTAAACATTTACATGGAAAATAAAATTTTTTCTTGTTTACTTGGAATCATATAAAGTTTTTGCTATTAGAGTAGTAATTTTAAGTTAAAAATTTACACAAACAAGCCGATACCAAAGCTTCAAGTTAGGGGTGGTGTTGGGAGTCTACTTTGATTTGTGTGGGGAAAATGGCTGATTGGTCAAGACAGCATAGAATCATAAGCTTCTGGGCAGAAAATCCAGAAAAGTTTTTATTCTTTTTCCATCAGTTTCTTTCCTTCTTTTTTCTGTTGATTGTGATTTGGGTGAAAGTTTACATGGCAAATTAGTTTTCCATTCCACGATTCATACACATTTTGATTTGTGGCATTGATTGCACAAAGTAACAGCTCTCTTCCCACTTCCTCCCTGTGGTTACCATGTCCATTTGTCCTTCTTTCCTATCCCTCACTGCCTTCTGAGCTTTGTCCCTAGGCATATTTTGCCCTTTTAATCTCCTGTGGTTGGTGTTCTAAGGAGTGGATACCTCCTTGGTGTTATTGTTCACCTTATAGGCTTGTCATTGTTTTGCTGAAAGTTGAGCCATGGGGTGACTTCAGTTCCAGGCCTGAAAGGTGTCTAAGGGCCATAGTTCCACCACCAGTCTGTATCAGAACAGTAAGTCTGGTCTTTTTTTTTGTCCTTTCTTTATCGTGATTTGGGTGAAAATTTACAGAGCAATTTGCTTTCCATACAGCAGTTCACATACACTTTGTCTCATGACATTGACTACAATTTACTCCAATGTAACACCTCCCCTCCCACTTTCTCCTGATAGTTACTTCTTCCCTGTATCCATCCCTCCATGCACTCCTGCTCCCTGAACTGTCTCCCTGTGCATAAACAGCCCTTCGTTCTCCCATGATTGTTCTCTCCAAGGAATGTATCTACCTCAGGTAAATGTTCAACTCATATGCCTGTCTTTTGTTTGGCTGGAAGCCACAGGTGTGGGTTCAATTCCAGACTGAAGGGCAGCTAGGGACCATAGTGTCAGTGGTTCCACCAGGCTCTATCAGACAAGCAAACCTGGTCCCCCTTTTTCTGTTTTTTCCCCACATGATTTTGAGTTTTGTTCCACATTATTCTCCCTCTATCCAGGATCTCTTACATAGATCCCCCTCCAAGTGATTGAGAGTGGTAGTTGGGCACCATCTAGTTCTTCTGGTCTCATAGTCATATAGGCTGCAGATCACATGGTGTACCAGTCACTTGGACTAATTCTTTCCATGAATCTTTGGCTTTCTTCATTCCTTTTTGCTCTGGACGAGGAGAGACCCATCGTTGCATCGAGATGGTTGCTTGCAAGCTTTTAAGATTCCAGTCCTACTTGCCAAAGTAGGAAGTAGAACAATGTTTTGTGTACTATGTTATGCCAGTTGAGCTTGATGTCCCCTGTGACTGTGGTCCCGAGTCCACAGGTTCAACTACTCGGTCCCTCTGGGTAGCTAGCTGTGACCAAGAAGTGACTACAACCTCGTCCCTTTTCAGCTCTACTATACACCTGGGAATTCAGATCATACAAATACGCTTACAGGATTATTGTCGGCCAACCCTATACATGGTCTTGGTTACACTCCCTGCTTCATAGACATACCTAATAGTTCAGCCTGTCCACCCATCTATCCACCCATATACCCATGTTTGCCTTCACTGACAATGCAGTACTGTATGTGCAAAAGGGTTCATCTTTGTTATCTGTACCTCCCATGTACCTCTCTATGTCTTCCTCTTCCTCAGTGCCACCATGTTGATCACTCCCATTTGGTACATTGCCCTTCTCTTCACCAAAATCAATACTTATCTTTATCTATCTAACAGTGTTCTGTACCCTACCCTCCCACCCCTGGTAACCAACAAAGAAAATTTCCTTCCATAGACAAACCTTTCCTTGACTTTTACAATATCGGACTAATACAATATTTGTCCTTTGGTGATTGACTTATTTCACTCAGCATGTCCGCCAAGTTCATCCACATTATATGGTGTTTTGCAGATTCTACGTTATTCTTTAGGGTTGCATAGTATTCCATTGTTTGAAGCCTGGTCTTTTTTTATTATTTTGAATTTTGTTCCACATTTATCTTTCACTCTATCCAGGACCTCCTATTGTGATCCCTTTCAGAGTGATTGGCAGTTGATAGCTGGATACCTTCTAGTTCTTCTGGTCTCAGGATCATGCACAGTGTTGTGCTTTGGACTAATTGTTCCATGCATCTTTAATTTTCTTCACTCTTCTTTGCTCCGGACAGGGAGAAACCAATAGTTGTACCTTTAGATCTAGAAAACTTTGAAAATGTAATTTCTTAAATTGCTGGCTGTTTTGGTTACCTGGTGCCTCTCTGACTAGAATGTACCACAAATGAGATGGCCTTAACAAACAGGAGTTTATTCTCCTACAGTTTGGAGGCTTTACATCCAAGTTCAAAGTGCCAGGCTCTAGCGGCTGGGTGAAAGCCCCTTAACCTTGGGCTTCAGCTCTGACTCCTGCTCCCGGCCCACTGAAGCTGGAGGATTTTTTTCACTCAGCTGCTGGCTGCTGAGGCTGACAAACCCAAGATTGACAAGTAACAAGGCACAGTCCCTATATTACCAAACCACATGGCAGGCCATTAATTCAAGTCCATTGAAAATCTCAGGGTTGGCAGAGCATGGCAGGCTGCTGAACAACGACTCAGCTACATGCAGGGTTCAAACGTGCCATAAGCCAGAGACCGTACCCCATGACTTCTCTTATATACAGGAAGCAGACCACATCCCTAAGGTAGCTACTCAGCTGCTCAGAGTAGATTCCACCATGGAGTTAATTACCAGTCTCATCATGGAGAATACTACATCCAGCTGCCCAGCCACTCAACCAAGCCCAGCCAAGTTGACACACAACCTTAACTACCACACTGGGTAACTGGCATACTGTGCTGTCACACATTATCCCCCAAACAGGATGCACTCTATAGGCAGTGAGTGCAGTGCAAAGTCAAGCTGTTCTAGTATCGAAGCTTTTTTTATGCCCCCACCATCACCTTTATTCAGATGGCTCCCATTTGTGCTTTCTCAAGTGCCCTTTGTAGACCCTGTTTCTTATTCATTCCTTCTTAGCTTTGGACTTTTTCTTCCCTATTACCCAGTCAATATGCAACATCTTTATCTTTTAACCCTTCTGTTAGGATTTACAATGTGTACCAACATTTCAGTTATCAACCAATTCATTAATTCATCCAATCAATATCTATCTATTCAATGCCTAATATACGCCAAACACTGAGTGAGGTATTATGGATACAAGGATGGATATCATATAGTCTAAATGAATTAGCATAGTGCCTAAGGCACTTGACTGCTAACCAGAAGGCTGACGGTTCAAACCCACCAGT